CTGAGCATCACTTGCGCCATCCGCTCGAAAAGCACTCCGGCGTTGCCGTCGCCATCGATGCCCCTGTGGACCATGTTCCGGACGGCGAGCTCGATGGGCCCCTCCAGGCGCGCGAGCTCCCTGGTGTCTATGTTGCCCGGGTAGACGAGATCCTCGAGCACGATGCCGAGCAGCTCGAAGAGGGGCGTGGTATGTATGGCGTCCTTCTCTGCGCCGTTGAGGAAGGTCTCCTCGAGCCTGTCGAAGCCCTCCTCGTACCTGCCTGCATGGACCAGCGCCTTCGCCAGACCCTCACAGGCGCTGCCATACAGTGGGCTTTCGGGGCCAATGCTGCGCCCGTAGAGTATGCGGGCCTTAGTGAACTGTTCGACGGCCATGTCTGACTGCCCCATCTTGTCGTAACAACTGCCAATAGTATCAAGCAGTTTTGCTAACGTCACGTCATCTTCAGGTTCATCCCGCTCCCATTCCTCCAAAGCCTTCAGCAGCATGGGCAGCGCTTCGTCGTACTGGCCCATGTGCTTCTTGGCAGTTCCTATATACCACAAATTCTCCTTCCCTGGCTCGTCGCGACCAGCGATCTCCATGGACGCCTCGAAGTACTCCTGTGCCTTGTCGTGCTGCCGCATCATGTTGTCCGCGGATCCCCGCTTGCCTGAGAGGACAGGGCGTGTGACGTGGTCGGCTGTGCCCCTGTCCCATGTTGGCCCTGTCAATGTTTCCGAAAACAACGCCTGAGAATCGGAAACGTGGGCGAACTCGCCAAACCACCCCCCCGGGGGTGTCGGAATAGCTAAAACCTCACAAATAGACCGTGCCCAGGTTGTTGAGAGTCGCTGGGTGTGGGGGCGTCCGCTTCGCGATCTCCTCCAGCATAACGGCTGCCTCGGGCTGCCTCGCCTGCTTGCAGCGGAGGGTGGCGCAGTCCTCTGCCGACTGGAAAACACGAAATGCAGACAAAATAAGGAACGGCACGAACGGGGGCGCACGGAGCAGCAGGGAACCGCTTGTTCCCTTCCAGGCTGGTGCGGCAGACGCGCGCTCACGCCGACGTGTGCTCGTCCACAGGGGGATAAGGGGAGGGGGCAGATGGAGGTGGAAGAGGAGGAGGAGGGAGGTGGTGGAGGAGGAGGAGGAGAAAGGTGATTCAGGAGGAGGGGGTGGAGGAGGAGGAAAAAAGGGTAGGAGGTGAGGCCGAGGCGGGAGGGGGGGGAGGGCGAGGGACGCTGTCGGCCGAGCTCAACAAGGCGAACCTGCACTCGGCCACCACGCGCCTCGCGGATCATCGACTCCCCACGGTCGGGTGTTGCTAGACGTGCCGAGGAGGAGGAGGAGGAGGAGGAGGAGGAGGAGGAGGAGGAGGAGGAGGAGGAGGAGCAGGAGGAGAGGAGGAGCAGGAGGAGGAGAAATGAGAAGGATAATGCGGAGGAGGAGGACGGTTCGCCTAATCCCTTCGGAGAAACCCCCCAGGCTCCCCCCGACGGTCGGGTGTTGCTAGTCGTGCCCCTGGCCCAAGGAGCCCTGCACGGTTTCCACCGGGGCCGTTGGCGACCCAAGGAGGAGAAAGAGGAGGAGAAGGCGGAGGAGGAGGAGGAAGAGGAGGAGGAGGAGGAGGAGGAGGAGGGGAGGGGAAGGGGAGGAGGAGAAATGGGGAGGGAGAGGGAGAGGAGGAGGAGGAGGAGCAGGAGGAGGAGGCGGAGGAGGAGGAGGAGAGGAGGGAGGAGGAGGAAGGGGAGGAGAGAGGGGGAGGAGGAGGAGGAGGAGGAGAGGAGGAGGAGGAGGAGGAGGAGGAGGACAGGAGAGGAGGAGGAGGATGAGAGGAGGGAGAGGACGAGGAGGGGAGGAGGAAGGAGGAAGAGGAGGAGGAGGAGGAGGAGAGGAGGAAGAGAGGGAGGAGGAGAAGGAGAGAAGGGAGGAGGAGGAGGAGGAGGAGGAGAGGAAGGAGGAGGGAGGAGGAGGAGGGAGGAGGAGGAGGAGGGGAGGAGGAGGAGGAGAGGAGGAGGAAGGGGGAGGAGGAGGAGAGGAGGAGGATGAGGGAGGAGGAGGAGGAGGAGGATGAGGAGGAGGAGGAGGAGGGAGGAGGAGGAGGAGGAGGAGGAGAAGGAGGGGGGGGGGGGGGGAGGAGAAGAGGAGGAGGAGGAAGAGGAGAGAGGAGGGGAGAAGATGGAGAGGGGGGGGGGGGGGGAGAGGAGAAGAGGAGGAGGAGGAGGACGAGGAGGAGGAGGATGAGTGAGGAGGGAGGAGGAAGAAGGAGGAGGAGAGGAGGGGGACTAGGAGTTGATTGAGGCTGCAGGAGGGAACAAGGGACGAGGGAGGATGGGAAAAAAAAGAAGAAAGGGAAAAAAAAAAAAAAAAAAAAAAAAGAAAAAAAAAAAAAAAAAAAAAAAGAAAGAAAAAAGAAGAGGAGGAGGAGGAGGAGGAGGAGGAGGAGGAGGAGGAGGAGAAAGAGGAGGAGGAGGAGGAGGAGAAGGACAGGTCGGGTCGCCCAAGCCCTTCGGAGAAACCCTTCACACCTGAGCAGCGTCCCCAAAACATGCGACGTCGTCGTGGTGTTGTCAATGCCCGGTCTCCACAAACCGGACCCTTTCCCCGGCACCCGCTTCTCATGCTGAGTCGTCTTTTGACAAGTCCCGGGGTCCTGCGAGGGCCCCCAGAGGCCGAAAATGGCCAGAAACGTCCCGTCGTGATTTTCGGAGGCGAAGCCAGGACGAGGGCGACGAACCTGCTGTGCGTCACCTTAAGACGCAACTACTGGGAGGTCTTCGCCGGAAGGGTTAAAGGAGGATCAAGCCCCACTGCGGGGCTGTCACGCTGGAGTGGGATTCGGATTTAGCGGGATCAAACGGGATTCAGCGGGATTAGGGATTAAGCCGGATTAAGGCAGGCAGGCAAGAGCCGCGCCCTGACGGCGATTCGGCAGAAGCAACCTAACAGCAATGTGTAGAAGCATATCTGGAAGCATTCCCCTTAAGATTCAGATGAGAATCAAGTTGTAGAATTCTGCTGTTCTCGCAGTCGTAGTCGCATTCGCGATGACAGTCGCAGTGGCAACGGCAGTCGCAGTCACAGCTTCAGCCTCAGCCTGCCTCAGCCTCAGCCTCAGCCTGCCTCAGCCTCAGCCTGCCTCAGCCTCAGCCTGCCTCAGCCTCAGCCTGCCTCAGCCTCAGCCTCAGCCTGCTTCAGCCTCAGCCTCAGTCTGCCTTCAGCCTCGGCCTCAGCCTCAGCCTGCCTCAGCCTCAGCCTGCATCAGCCGCAGCCTCAGCCTCAGCCTGCCTCAGCATCAGCCTGCCTCAGCCTCAGCCTGCCTCTGCCTCAGCCTCAGCCTGCTTCAGCCTCAGCCTCAGTCTGCCGTCGGCCTCGGCCTCAGCCTCAGCCTGCCTCAGCCTCAGCCTGCATCAGCCTCAGCCTCAGCCTCAGCCTGCCTTAGCATCAGCCTGCCTCAGCCTCAGCCTCAGCCTGCCTCAGCCTCAGCCTCAGCCAATCAGCCTGCCGCAAGACCAGCCTGAGCCTGGCCTCAGCCTTCAGCTCAGCCTCAAGCCAACCTCAGCCTCAGCCTGCTTCAGCCAAAGCCTCAGTCTGCCTCGAGCCTTGGCCTCAGCCTCAGCCTCAGCCTGCCTCAGCCTCAGCCTGCATCAGCCTCAGCCTCAGCCTCAGCCTGCCTCAGCATCAGCCTGCCTCAGCCTCAGCCTCAGCCTCCGCCTGCCTCTGCCTCAGCCTCAGCCTGCTTCAGCCTCAGCCTCAGTCTGCCGTCGGCCTTCGCACTCACCTGCTTCACCTCAGTCCTCCTCGAGCCTGGCTTCACAGCCGCTAAGCCTCAGTCCCTGCCCTTCAGTTCCACACAGCACAGCTCGGCCTCTAGCCTCCGCCTGCCTCTGCCTTTGAGCCTGCATCAGCCTCAGCCTCAAGCCTCGGGCAAATACCTGCCTGCAGCATGATCCTGCCTCCGCCTCAGGCCTCATCCTGCCTGGAGCCCTCAGCCTCACGACCTGCTTCATCCTCAGCCTCAGTCTGACCTTCCAGGCCTCGGGCCTCATGGCCTCGAGCCCCCCCCCCTGGACTGCCTCAGCCTCAGCCTGCATCAGCCTCACCTCATCAGCCTCAGCCTCAGCCTGCCTCAGCATCAGCCTGCCTCAGCCTCAGCCTCAGCCTGCCTCTGCCTCAGCCTGCTTCAGCCTCAGCCTCAATCTGCCGTCAGCCTCGGCCTCACTCAGCCTGCCTCAGCCTCAGCCTGCCTCAGCCTCAGCCTCAGCCTGCCTCAGCATTCAAAATGTGGCCCGGGAATGGAGTTCTGGGAACTCGAAGAACACGAAGTGGCCTACAGTTGGCTCCGGGCATTCAAAATCATGCCCAGGACTGGAGTTCTGGAACTCGAAGACCACGAAATGGCCTACAGTTGGTTCCGGGCATTCAAAATGTGGCCCGGGAATGGAGTTCTGGGAACTCGAGGGCACGAAGTGGCCTACAGGTGGCTCCGGGCATTCAAAATGCGGCCCGGGAATGGAGTTCTGGGAACTCGAAGAGCACGAAGTGGCCTACAGTTGGCTCCAGGCATTCAAAATGTGGCGCCCGGGAATGGAGTTTTCGAAACTCGAAGGGCACGAAGTGTGTAACTGTTTGCTTAAAACGACTTCCGCGGATTCTCCCCGGATCCTGCCCGGACCCCCCTGGGGAGTCATGATGCTCTCTTTTGAGACCACTAGAAACCTATCAGTCTTCGCTGTTAGATAAATATGCGTGCAGACGCAGTGCCTCGGTGGGCATACGCCGGACCCTTCGTGCCAGATTAAGCGGGACCAAAATCAGAATTTGATTTCCCGGAGCTGCATCCGAAGTCACCCCTTCGCCGGCTCGGCTCTCGGCGCCGCAGCTCGGCACGGAGGCGTGGCCAGCCGGGGCGCTCCGGCCGCCTGGCGAGCCCCCCAAACCGAGTGCAGGGGGGGGGCTGGCCCTGGGGGGGCCCTCTGAAGGGGACCGAGAGGAGGGGATGTGACAGAGGAGATGTCGACGTCTGTCCCAAACTTCCGTGGGGTTTTCGGATGGACCAAAGATTCGGGGCCCAATCCTGGGACATACGATGGGGGGTGGGGTCCATCATCGATAAAGGTGCGTCCGAATAGCCCCCTTGGGGTGTATCCCAAGGTTTCTCTGTTTTTCTGAGCGGCTTCATTTTTCCGCGAATGGTCGCGTGCTGGTGCAGGAGGAGGAGGAGGAGGAGGAGGAGGAGGAGGAGGAGGAGGAGGAGAAGGAGTAAAGTTGGAAGGAGGGGTAAGGTAGAGGAGGGGGGAGGAGGAAGTAGGAGGCAAGTTTGTGAGGAGGAGGAGGAGGAGGATGAGGAGAGGGTGACAAGGAGGAGGGAGGAGGAGCGAGGAGGGAGGAGGGAGGAGGAGCGAGGAGGGAGGAGGGAGGAGGAGCGAGGAGGGAGGAGGGAGGAGGAGGAGGAGGGAGGAGGGAGGAGGAGCGAGGAGGGAGGAGGGAGGAGGGAGGAGGGAGGAGCGAGGGAGGAGCGAGGGAGGAGAGAAGGAGAGAGGAGGGAGGAGGGAGGGAGGAGAGAAGGAGAGAGGAGGGAGGAGGGAGCGAGGATGGGCTCTAGGGGGGGTGAGGCATCGGCCCCGAATCGCCGACATGTCGCCGACAGCTCGGCGACAGGCCCCCGCTGCTCAAGCCCCGACGTGCGATGGATGAGCGGTTACCCATCGGTCGGAAGCTGTAGGCAGAAACACAAAATAGGAAGGTGTTGAAAGTAGACAGGGTTCCGTCCGCCCCCGACGGAGGAAGGAAAAGGTGAAGCCACTCGATCATTGAAATAGGAAGGCGCTGAAAGCAGATTGGAATCAGGGAATCCGAAAATACCTACGTTCAACGACCGATGGGTAGGGGTCCATGTCTCTGCCACTGAGCCACACTCCCCCCGATTTCGGCGGCCCCGGGCCCCCTGTGGGCTTCGATGCTCATTCTGGGGACCTTCCTGGAGCCACTAGCTCCACTCGTGCGTCGAAGCTGCGTCGAAGGTCCGTCGAAAGGAGTCGAACTCGCGTCGCACCTGAGTCGAACTTGAAAAACTGGAGTCGAAACAGAGACGTACTAGAATTGAGACAGAGTCGAGCAGATCCGCCAGGCGGGCCCCGAGATGGTCCTCCAAAACGAGTATATCATTGGGCTGTCCCCGGGCGTCGTCGGTCAGCCGAGGTCCTGCAGCCACTTCACGTCCCACGGGAGCCCCCGCTCCATGCAGTACGGCTCGATCGCCGCGTACAGCGCGTCCGCCTGGCCCGAGGGCGGGGGGTGGGTGGGCACGGCAGAGGGACGAGGAGGGTATCTAGCAGGAGCAGCAGCAAGAGGGAGGAGCAGGAGGGGGAGGAGCCCCTGTCCAGCGCGGTGTGGGGGCCGACTCGAGGGATGCAGCCTTCGGCGGGGCGACTCTTCTCTCAATTCGGCACGCGTTGTGTTACGCTTTTCCATTTTTTCCATCTGGCGTGGGCATCGTGCACAACCATTGCGGGCCAGCGAGCGGAGAGGAGAAGCGGGAAGGGAGGAGACGCGGCAAGGAATGAGCGACGAGGAGGAGCGGGAAGAGGAGCGCGCGAGCGAGCGAATAGGCAGGCGAGCCCAGAAGCGAATCGATAATTCGGATCGGCGATCGAAATAAATCGGATGGGCGGAACTCGGCAGATGAGTCGGGAGAAGTCGGATGGGCGGAAATCGGCAGGCTGGCAGGCCTCCAGTGAGACATCGGATCCGAGATCGAAATCCGATGCCGAATCGGATCGGAATCGGCAGCCATCGAAATCGAATCGAATCGAGTCTGAGTATCATTTAACCGATCCCCATCCCCAGCGGCGTGGCCTGGGCCCCACTGGCCGATTTACCCCCCTAGATGGGGATATAGGTCGTTCCCTTCGGGTTTCGAGGGGTGTATCCCCAACTGGGGTGGTAATTTGGTGGGGGTCTCGAAGGGGATGGGGATGGGGATGGGGATCGGTTAAACGATACCGAGATTCGGAGGAATCGAAATGAGCCCTGAAGGAGGAGGAGCGCGCGGCGCCCGTCTTGCCACCGCACCGACCTTGCAGACGTGCTGCAGCGGATTTCTGCGTGGACCTCTGCCAGTACAAGACCCCAAAACGGCGAGTGAAGAACGAAGTTAATTTCGCGTGGATTTTAATCTTCATTCCTGGCCCCACACAAATCCGCACGAAATTCACCTCGAAATCCGGAACGAAACTCTCAAGTTCACTCTGTGCCCATCCTATCGTTTTCCGAACGAAATCCGCTCTGCGATGTTGGCGCCATGAGCCTTGTCCACCGCGTAGTTCTTCAGGTAAGCCACGGCCAGGTCGAGGGCGCCCTCCAGCACCTTCGGGTCCCGGAAGCCCTCCTCCAGGCGGCGGGCGGGCCGCGGGAGCCGATAGAGGCGGCCCCCCCTGGGGGCAGGAGCGGGTGGTGGGCTTGTTTTCCACCGCCACCACCACAGGTAGGAGGGGAGGGGAGTACTCTCCGACCTCCTCTCCTCCGCTCCGCCTCTCCTGCCTCCCTACTCTAACTTCCCTCCTCTACTTTACTCCTCCTACTCCTCTTCTTCCTCTTCCTCCTCCCTCCTCCCATCCTCCACCTCCTTCCCCTCCCTTCCTCCCCCCAACTTCTGTTCTGGTGGTGGTTGGTGTGGAGACAACAGGTAAACAGGCTCCATCACTGGAGCTGGGGCCTGTGGCAGACCCGTACCGGAAGCACTGCCGGGACAGCGGAGCCGGGCAGGGTGAGGGGCAACGATAAGGGACTGGCACAGAGGGGGGCTCGGTGGCACACCATGGGAGCCTCCCGAGCCGACGCTCGATCGACGCTAAGTCGACGCTAAGTCGACGCTAAGTCGACGCTAAATCGACGCTGACCGACGCTAAATCGGCGCTATCTCATCCACTCCCAGACGCTAATCGACGCTCATCGACGCGAAGGACAGAGTTAAGAGGGTGTACTTAGGTCGGGCATGTCCTCATACACGCTGATCTTGCACGAACAATAAGAAGTAGCCGAAACATGCAAAAACATCGGAAAAATCAAAGGTAGTGGAAAGATTGCCCCCCAGACTATTTCTGAACTACGAGCTTGAAAATTCCTCCTGTAGAGGGACGTGCCCGACCGAACGGCATACCGAGCTCCCATGATTTGCTGCCGAAGAGGGGGGGGGGGCACGACCTGGAATCGCCAGTGCACCGCCGATGGAGCCGCGAGAGGCCCCCGCCTGCGGGCCCGCGTGTGCCTCGGCGGGGTGGGGCCGCCGGAGCCCTGTCGGCGATCAACTGGCGATTGGGGGGCCGATTCGTCCCCCGCCCTCTGTGCCTTTCCCCCCCTCCCCTGACGTTGCCCTGCGTTTCACCCACCCAGTACAGCGCTTCGTGGCCCCATAGGGAGCTCCACCGAAGATCCCACTGGCACCGACCGCATGCGTCCGCCACCACACAGCACAGCCTTTGCTCCCTTCGTTTCACCCACCCAATGCAGCGCTTCGTGGCCCCATAAGAAGCCTCCACCGAAGGTCCCAGTGGCACCGCCCGCATGCGTCCGCCACCACCCAGCACAGCCCTTGTTCCCTGCGTTTCGCCCACCCAATACAGCGTTTCGTGGCCCCATAAGGGGGCTCCACCGAAGGTCCCAACACCAAAACATTATGGCTCTAAAGAAATTGGAAAGGCAGCGGGAGGGGACAAGCAAACACATCATCTACACGTGATAAATTTCCGGATCGTGCGGAAACAGCACGGCTGGTAGGGCACCGGCAGAAGAGGCTTTCAGAAGGTGGCAAACCACAGGGAAGAAAAAGGGGAAAGGGGGGAAGAGAGGGAGGGAGGGAGACAGAGTGAAGGAGGAAAGGAGAGGAGAGCAGCAGCAGACGACAACAACAGGAGCGAGAGAGAAACGAGGGGGGAGAAGGGCCAAGCCCCGCGGAGGCGACTCGCAGAGCGCGCGCGCTGTAATCCACGCAGCACGGCCGGAACGAGAGAGGACGAGAAGAAGGGAGACGCCGGCGACGAACAGACGACAGCAACACGAGACAAGCGACGGCGGCGAACAGACGACGGACGACGACAGCAGCGAGGAGAAAAAGGGGAAGAAGAGAAAGGGAGGAGGAGGGAGGGGAGGCAGGGGAGGGGGGTTTGAGGGTTGCGCTGGTTTTCGTCGGCTCTCGGCGGTTTTCCAGTTTCGGGATGCTCTCTAGCAGCTGCGCCTCGCCGCGGGCGTTCCAGGGGTGCCCGGATCGTCCCGAACGGCCGCCGGAGACGCCGAATGAGAGCCTGTTTTGCGCTTGACCAAAGCAAGTTTACTTACATGGCGTTCGCCCCCCTGCCCCCCCTCGCCCCTCATCCATCGAAAACGAGCGTGCAAGTGCCTTTCGACTTGCGTGAGTTCCGCGCGTCAAGTTGTTCTCGGCTTGCTTCAGGCTCAGCTCCCCCCCGGCTCATGCAAGCAAACTCGCCTGGGTCTAAAGAAAAACCCTCTCTTATAGTCCGCTGAGGCTGAGACAGGCTGAGGCTGAGGCTGAGGCAGGCTGAGGCTGAGGCAGGCTGAGGATGAGGCCGAGGCAGGCCGAAACTGAGACAAAGTGAAGCTGAATGGGGGGGGGGAGGGCGGGGGGGGGGAGGCTGAGGCAGGCTGAGGCCGAGGCAGGCTGAGGCCGAGGCAGGCTGAGGCTGAGGCGGCTGAGGCTGAGGCAAGCCGAGGCAGGCTGAGGCTGAGGCTGAGGCTCGAGGCAAGCCCTGGCAGGCTGAGGCTGAGGCAGGTTGAGGCTGAGGCTGACGCAGGCTGAGGCCGAGGTGAGGCTGAGGCAGGCTGAGGCTGAGGCCGAGGCAGGCTGAGGCTGAGGCTCGAGGCAAGCCGGGGCAGGCTGAGGCTGAGGCTGAAACTGAGGCAGGTTGAGGCATCCGTAGGAATCCATGGGAATCCTTAGGAATCCATTGGAATCCTTAGGAATCCGTAGGCATCCTTAGGAATCCGTAGGCATAGTTAAGCATCCTCAGGAATCCTTAGGAATCCTGAGGATTCCAGGCCGCAGCCCCATCCACCAGTCTGGGCGCCGCCGCCCGCGCCTGCAAGTTCGCTGGCGGTCTCCCCCGCCGCGCCCCCCGCTCCTGCGCCGGTGCCCAGCTTCTCGGCCCAGCGCTGGCGCGCGGCCGGCGTCGTGGCCTGAAGGGCGCCGATGGGCTCCTTGGTCCCAGGCAGCAGGTTCTTGCCCAGGTCGTTGCGCGCCTGGGCCCGCGACCCTGTCTTGGCCCGCTGGTCGGCGCCCTTGCACAGGTCTCGCGGGCCATGCCGCGCCGCCCCGGGCGCCCTCGCATGCTGGCAACGCGAGGCGCACGCCAGGAAAGGCTCTGAACTCATGCTGAGCACCTGGCCCTTTCATCAGCGCGTGCCCGTGGACCCCCCAGGGCCCGAGGCGGCCTGCTGGGATGCAGTCGGCGGCGCCCAGCGCGGGCGAGGCTGGCGCAACCGCTGCAGGCTGGCGCGCCGCCGAAAGGATGCCCGCAGTCTGAGCCTCCCGCGCCGCGGCCTCGCCAGCTGGTCGAGGCGGGGCCGCCTGCGCCAGCTGCTCTCTCTCTCTCTCTCTCTCTCTCTCTCTCTCTCTCTCTCTCTCTCTCTCTCTCTCTCTCTCTTTGGTCTCTCTCTCTCTCTCTCTCTCTCTCTCTCTCTCTCTCCCTCTCTCTCTCTCTCTTTTCTAGTCTCGGCTCGAGAGTGCTCTGCACTCAGACCGCAGCTACGACGCGAAGCGCCCCGCCTCGGAGTCAGACTCCCAGGCCTCGCGAGACCGGAGGGGTCCCAGCAGGACCCTACTGATTCGCGTCACCTCTCCGCACCAGAGTGCCCGCAGCAATGGCCCCCAAGACGCCGGAGCGCCGTCACTCTTCAAAGCAGCCTCCGAGCTCCCGTCCCACGCGCCCTGCTGCTGAAGGGTCCCTCCTTCAACGCAAGCAGGACTGCATCGCAGCGTTCAGGCAAGCGGGGTCTGACCGCCCCACGGCCGCCTAAAACGGGCTAGCCGAACTGAACGCGGACGAGCTCCAGGCAAAGTACGACATGCACAAGTCCAACACGAAGAAGCTTGGCAGCGCCCTTATCCGCATGTGCGCCGCCAACCAGATCAGCTACACGCTCGACCACTACCAGCGCAGCAAGCCTAAGCGCACTGGCGGTGACACATCGCACCCACCATCGGGCTCCGCACGTCTTCAGGCTGCGGATACCCAATTCATTGCCTTGGACCCTGCCTTTTGGAAGGTCCCTGTTCTTGCCGAACCCACCTCGCCTGACGACGGCAAGACGTACAAGCCCAGCATCAGCCTCCACGACTTCGAGAGTGGCGAACGGCTGCTGCAACACCACCTCGGGCAGGGCAAGCGAGCCACTGGCCAGCTCGCGATTGCTGTCATGGGCCCGAAAAACGACAACTACGTCGGTACCGAGCTCGCCGTCCCCGTCCTGAAGCGCCACCCCAAGGCGCCCAAAGTGGCCCACACGCACGTCCCCGTGATTGTGTACCAGCTGGGCACCAAGGAGGTCGCCTGCACGGAAAAGGTAGCCGTCGCCACCATCGACCCCGCCGACCACGTCTGCTGGATTCGGGCGACCATACACGAGACCGAGGCCATTGCCACAGTCCCCTCCATGCACCAGGCCTTCGAGGACCAGTTCTCGGGAGGTGCCCCCGTGAACGGTGGTCCACGCGCCAAGGGCCCTTTTCGAGGTGACTCCGCTCCACAGGACAAGGCGCGCCAAAACCAAAAGCACAGGGAGTCCAAGAAAGACGCTCGCCGCCAGGAGCTCGATAGTCAGCTCCAGGACACCTTCAAGGCCCTCTTCCACGGCAACTTAAAAGCCGTCACCATCCTCGAACCCTGCAAAAGCCTAGGCAGGTTTGGATCGGGCGTCGGAAAGAGGTCCCTGGCTGCCACCTTCGGCGTCAGTCTCCTAGCGGTCGACAAGGTCCTGGCGGGATCAGGGCAACTCGGTGCCACCTACGACCTCAGCAACGTAGGTGCAGACGAGCCCACCGCCGACAAGTATCAGACCGTGTGGTTCCCTGAGGACCAGCCCATCACGATGGCAGACGCGTTCCAGAAGTCGGTGGAGCTCAAGGCCCTGGGAGTCAGCAAGCACGGCAAGTCAGGCCTGCTGGGGATCCGTGTTCCGCGGGGGTCTGACGTCGCCAAGGCCGCTGCTGTCAGCATCCGCGGCTGCGAGGCCACCCTCGCCAAGACGCGCTACCGCATCACTGGCATTGCGTCGCGCCACGCCGCGCTGACCCAGCTCGCCAAGACTCCCACGGGCCCGTCCGTCAAATGGGACTGCGAGGTCTACCACACCGCCTGGGACCCAGCCACTGCGGCCCA